TAACATCTGAGTTGGGCCTAATTAATTCAGCATGTGGGCAGAAGGCATTATTTGCAGTACCACACCTTTCCTGCCTCCCTTCTCTTCCTGGGCTTTTCAAAAAGAGGACTGGGCAGGATTCTATTTATAGAGCCAAATAAATCCCAACCTGTCTCAGCTTCTCAGACCTGGTCCCATGAAGTGCTGGATGCCCTTGTCTGCCAATCCCAGAAAAAAAAAGTGGGGCTTGGAAGGTCTGGGATCATGCAGGGTAAAAGCAGCAGCTTTGTACTAATGTAGATATGAAATTATTCCAATGTGGAGGATGGGGAGAACTGGAGTTCCTGATCTTTAAGAGCATCCTGTGGACTTCATTAATTGTCTTGTCTGCCAGTTGCCAAGGGAAAATGTTCTGGAAGGGACTTAGCTCCTGTTCTGAAGGCTTGAGAGTTGGATTCTGGCAGGGATCTGATGCCCCCTCCCCAAAACAGCACGTGTGTGACAGTGAGGGAGGGAGAACAGGATGCCTGGGACTGGAGAACAAGGAAAAGTGCAGTTGAGAGGAGAGGATAAAGTAGTTTGGGCATTATTGCACTCATGGATGAGGGGATTTAACTGTGTGGAAGGTTTTGCAGGATCAACCAGGATGGTGCAGGGTTCAAAGGGGGAAAATGGAAGCCTGCATAGGATGAGCAAGGGGTTGATTAAAAACATCATCCAGGCAGGACCTGTGCTGGTATCCACAGCAGCAGCAGCTCTGGAATGACTTGATGCCCCTTAGGAAACAACCAGGAATGGATGGCAGGGAGAGGAATGGAGGCTCCTGCTCTGCTTGCTCTTGCAAAATTCTGAAGGGAAGAGGAGCTGGGGGTGGGCAGGCAGTGCTCCTGCTGGAGAAGGTGCTGATTTATGGTGACATCACAGGCAAATCACTTCCCAGGCTGTTTTCCTGAGCTGTTCCTGCTGCGTGCACGGACAAGTGTAACAGTGCTAAAAATAATAAACCCCAAATATGTGCCACCTCCATGAAAGCTGGAAGAGCTTTGCAAGGAGTCAGATCCCGAGGAACCAGCCTCCAGTTCTCATGTGCATGCACAATTCCTGTGGATTCAGCCCTTCTGGTAAAAATGCCACTTACCAAGCAGGTGGACACGAATAATCCTTCCCACTTTAATTTTTCTTTGTAGGAAAAATTCTTCAGGACAGACCAAAGTTTGAGGTGTGTGATACAACTGGGAAGTTTCTGCAGGGCTGTGCTTCCCTTTAAGCCAAAGTGACAGGGGGAGGTTTCTGGCTGTGGTGTGAGGAGCAGGGATCCTGAGCCAGCTATTCCTTATCAACCCCCAGGAGCAGAACAGCCCCTGCCCCTGGTCGTGGGCTCCCAGCCCTGCCGTGTGGGAGCCCTGCCACGTGCCTGAGGTTCTCCACCCTGGACAGGAGGCTTGTGCTGAGGGAAGCAAGAGCAGCCCAGTGTGCTGGAACTGGCTATTAAAATTGCAGCAGGTTTCCACAGCAGCTGATAAAAAACTGCATCTGCAAGCTCCGTTCCCTGGTGTTGGCAGGCTTGGCTGCTCCTGCTGACCAGCCTGCTGAGGCTGGGATGCAGCTCCATGCCCAGCCCTGCCCCACAAGGGGAGTTACTGCTCTGGCAGCACGTTCTTGATTAGCACCTTCCAGGACAGCACGTGTCAGGGAAGCAGCCACAGAGCCCTTCTCCCATCCAGTGCATCCAGCTCTGGGTTTGGCATGTCCATCATCACCTCAGTGCTGCTGGAAGTAATTGGAGATTAGGCATCTACACACCCTTGGAGGATTTTTTTACCTCTTGCTAAAGTGGCTGCACCTCAAAGTGCCCTCAGAACGCCTGGAACTGTGTTTTGGTAACACAAGGGCCACTGTGCTGAGAGGTAAATCCCCCAGAAACAGCTTCCCCCTTTGCCCCCTGGGTGGGAGAAAACAGGGCTAAACTGGCAGAGCTACAAAAGTGGGTCAACTCACCTGTTGGGTGTTCTAGGTCAGAGAGGGAGAAGCAAATAAGCTCCTTACGTTGCCTAAATTACCAGTGGGTAAACTCCGTGTCCTGGCATCTATCCTTGACTAAAGGAATGTGCTCTGGAATGGCTCGTGCTGGAGAGGACACAGCCAAGTGCTTTTGGTGGAGGGAACTAAGTCAGCAGCCCCCAAAAGGCCTGGTGTTAATGGATCCAACGCTTCCCCTCCCCAAGCTGCTGCAGGAACCTTTCTCCAGGGATAAAGCCCACGAAGGAACCAGCCAAGCCCTTGTGTAGCTTGTGGTTTGGCTCCCTGCCCGCTCTGCCCTTCAAGCAGGAAATTCTCAAAGGGAAGGGAGTGCTTTGAGAAGCTGCCTCCAGACTCTGCCTCTTCTCTTTTAGTCACAGCTCAGCACCAGGTCACCTGGAACTGCTGGAAGCTGACCAGGCAGACTGACGGCGCCTGCAGAAGGGACTGAAGCAACTTCTCCACCTTGATCATTTTCCCTCATCTTTTGTCCTTTCCATCCTTGATTGCTGTTGTTCCATCCGGAGATAAAACACTCCTGATATCACTGAGATGGGAGAGACAAGCAAGGGGGAAGAGATCAAAGGAAGGAGAAGAAAGAGGAGATGCCAAAGGCAGAAGAAGAAAGAGGGAAGATGTCAAACACACTTCCTTGATTCACCTGCTTTACATACCCGGTGCAAAGTTTCAGAAATTCTTAATGTACGTGATTTTTGGAGTTCTGGGGTTACCACGTAGTCACCAGACAGCAGGAGGCCGTGGAAGGGCATCCTCCTTCCACCAGCTGAGGAAGTAGCTTGAAAGGTGGATCCAGAAAGCCCAGGAGGCCCTTGGCACCTGTGAGTCTTGGCTGGACTTGAAAAGGAACCCGGGCGAGGGCAGGCTGGGGAATCGCGGGGGTTTGAAAGTGTCTTTCTGCTTCCCTCTGCTGGTGAGACAGAGCTGTGCCCAGGGAATTCCTGAAAATCGGGGATCAGCGGGAAGGAGAGCAAAAGATAGGAGGGGTTACCTTGTGCTGTCAGCGCACAAACATTAACTCCACCGATTTCTTTGAATGTGCTCCTGAAAAAACGCAACGTGTGTGTGATTGTGTGGGTGGGTGGGAGACGGGGAGATGGCACAAATGAACAAAAATGATTGAATTACCGTTTTTCTCATCCTGTTATCAGCTGTGATTACAAATTTAACGACCTTAACTTAGTTGCTTTCTTGTTACAAACCAGGATCATTATCAGTGGCAAAAAAAACTCCAAACAAAGGCTTAAACTTCAAACATTTTTGTTGCTCACTTGGTTATACTGAAATCTCTTTGACTGAGACTTAAATCCCTTTTCTCCCCCTAGTTTGAGCTCACTTTCCTATGGTGTTTGTAAGGACTGGAGGAAATCTTGAAACCCCAAAGGAACAGCTAATGATGATGAGATTCTTAATATGGAGATACAGGAAAATGCAAATCCAAGCCCAGCTTTCATTTTAAATGGGAGGTGCAACAGAAAGGCAAATCTAACATTAGCACAGTATTCCAGCCAGGAAATCAGCAGTCACTTCTGCATTTCATTTCCCTGTTTTATTTAAGAAGCAAATTGAGGGGGGAGTGGGAGGATAAAGAGCCCTTGGAAGCTCTGCTGCTGCTGAATGGGCTGTGACTCAGTGCTCTAAATCACTTTTGCAGATTGTCCTCATTTAGTGAGTCAGGGACTTGAACAACCACGGGGATGACCCTCCCCAAACTGGAAAGCTGAGGGGAGATGCTGAATACCCCAGATCCTGCCCAGAGAAGCCGTGGCTGCCCCATCCCTGGAAGTGTCCAAAGGCCAGGTTGGAACAACCTGGGATAGTGGAAGGTGGATGATCTTTAATGTCCCTTCCAATCCATGGAAATATAAGTAGGATTGTGCCCAAGGACAGCACAGGCCTTCAGCTGAGCCCTGCAACTGCAGGGCAGAGGTTTGAGTCGCTGCTGGGACAGGGGAGGTGGTGGGACGAGGAGCTGGGCAGTGCCACAGGGCACATTTGATGGCATTTCTTAGTCCCTTGTCCTGATTTGACCCCAAGGAGAGAAATTTAGGACCTCAAACAGCTCTAACCTGCTGTGGATATAAATAGTATCAGGTATCATTTCATTTGTTCCATTAATGGACCCTCTGCTGTGCCTTGAGTGAAAAACCTTCACGTGGTTGGGGCTTTTACTCCCCAGCTGTGCTGTAAGTGCTGTTTATTTTGGGGACATGTCACCAAGAGTTGCTTTTGTGCTTCACGTGCCTCGCCCTCCGGGACATCCCTGAGCACCCGTGGGAAGGCAGGAATCCAGTTCAGATCCCATTCCAGTGTCCCTGCTCAGTGTGGCACCGGGATTTTTGGTTCTAAAACCAGTCCCAGGCACTCAGGGGTTGCAGGGCAGGGGCTGAAGGGCTGGTTTGACAGAGATGGGACAGGGCAGCCTGAGAGCTGCCAGCACACGGGGCGATGGCTCAGGAGACAGAGAGGTCCGGTGAAGCCTCCGGTGAAGCCTCAGGTGAAGCCTCGGGAGAAGCCCCAAGCGGGACCCCAGGTGGGCCCCGGGAGGCGACACCGGAAGTCCGGTCGGGGCCGCGCCCCGCCCAGGTGACGCGCCGCGGTGAATGCCGGGAAGGGCGCCGCTGGGAGCGGCGGTACCCGAGCGACTGAGGCAGCGCGGGGAGCACCGCGCACACCCCATTGCCCCGCCCCGGTGAGGTGTAGGGTCGGTACCCGCCGGTACCTCCCGGTACCTGCCGGTGCATCCCCGGCCCATCCCCGTCCCCCGGCGGGGCCGGCGCGGAGGGACCACGGACACCCCGTTGCCGTGACAACCTCCGGCCCCGCTCTCCTCCAATCACCGCGCCCTTTACTTTGGGAACGGAAGCAGGCGCCCAATCACAGGCGAGCTCTCAGAGCCGCCGCGGCTGGTTTAAGGTGGCTCGGCGGAGGAGCTTCGCGCATGCGCCTTAAGGCGGCTGTGGCTGCGCCACCGGACCCACTGCGGGAGGGACGGGCCCCACCGGGGCAGGGCGGGGGCCCCTGCCTGTCCGTGCAGCCCTGGACCGGGAAGCTCCCCCGGAGCCCCGGGAGGGGCCCGCGGGGCCTCCCCGCCCCAACCGAGCGGCAGAACGCGGCTCCTTCCGCCTGGCCCTTCATAGCTCTGCGCCCATTGGCTGGGCCGAGTCCCGCCCCCGCGCCGCAGCCAATCCTCGCGCACAGCTGTGGCCCGGACGTGGATTGACAGCCTTGGCGGCCAATCGGAGGAGCCGGGCGGGGACGGCCCGCGGCGCTGACCGGGACCCGGAGTTGTGGCCGAGGCCGGGGGCGGCGGGGGAAGGACGGGCCGCACCTGAGGGACAGGTCAGGGACAGGTGAGTGGCGGGGCCGTCCCGTCCCGGAGTGCCCGGGACTCCGCAGGGTTCGGTGGGGAACAACCCGGGGCTGGGCTGGGCAGGGCGGCCCGGCCCGAGGGTGTGTGGGGTCACCCCCTGCCCGACCCGGGCTCTGCGCTGGGGGTTCGCTCACACCGGGAGGGGGGTTTGCCCCCCACCTCCCCTCACAACGGGGTTTTTTGCCGTTTCCTGCCCGGACTGAGGTGCTGCCCCTGTTCCCCCCGCGCTGGAGGCTCGGGGCGGGTTAAAGGCACCAGGGTGGGCTCAGGGGGGTTGCGGTGCCCAGCCCAGCACGGGGCGGTCCTGCTGCCTCACTTTCCAGGGTCCCGGGCTGGGATGCTCAGTCTGCACCATTCCCGGGGGTCTGATGGCCTGAGGACGTGTCACGGGTGGGGATCACCCCCTCTCTGTCTGTAAACCTGCATCTCCTTCCATACCAGGCAGGGGTGATGCCGGTGCTCCCCGAGGGAGAAGGAGCCATCACGGTGTGCAGGGAGCTCAGACAGAGACTCTCTGTGGTGCTTGCCAGACACTTACGATGAGTTTGACTCCGGGGAATTCCGGCTCCGAGGAATTCCGGCTCCCCACTGCTCACAGGGATTGCACTGGGATGACCTCTGGGAGCAGCTCTGTCATCCCCAGCACGTGGGGATGGGGTGACTCATGTACTGCTGGTCCTCAACAAACCCCAGGGGTACAGGCAGGAGGAGAATGAAAAGCAGCTCTTGCAGGACTTCAGAGACTTTGTGGTGCTGTTAAATGCCAGCTGAGTGTGTCACCCCTGGGGCCCAGCCAGCTCAGAGCTCTTGTAAAGCCAAGTCTGTAGGAGTTTCTGTCCAGGTTTGTAAGAAGACATTTAAAATCTGCTTTCTCTGCTGAGAGTTTGTTTCCAGGGGTGTTTTTTTTTCTGTGGCCTAACCTTCAGCAGGATTTCACTGCAGGATTTTGGACCACTGATTTAATTTGGTCTAATTCTTTTTTTATTATTATTCTTTTTTTTTTCCCTTAGTGTCACCTTGGAGGAATATAACCCTGCTGCCCCACTGACTGGTGGAAATAGTGGCTCATCTGCCCTTCTGTCTGTTCTATCCCAGTGTGGGCTGGTGGGGAAGGAAAGCACTGACAGGCTGCAGAGAATCTGTACTTCATTGAACTAATTGTTGCTTGGCCAAGGAAACAGGATGGATGGGAAGGAGAGGTACCAAAAGCTGGTTCCAGCAAGGTCCACGTCTCGTCTTTAAAGAGAAGTTCCAGCATCAGAGAGGCTGAAAAGCAAACACTCCAAAGAACCAAAATGGAAGGAGGCAACAGCCCAAATCTGCAACTCCAGCAGCTCCCCTTGGCCACAGCAGCGGTTTCTGTGCAGCCACACACAGACTCCTTCTCCTACAAGGTCAGATTCCCACCCCAGTCCATCCCTAGAAGGCTCTGACTGTTGGATTGAGCTGATAATGCTGCTCTGTTTGGGTTACTCTTTGCAGAAAGTGCTCTGCCTTTGTATCCAGCCACTTCTGGGTGTTACATGCTGTGTATAGTGAGAGAAAGAAAGAGAAAGTCTGTGTCTGCAGAGCAGCCAAAGTGAAGGAAGGGCTGGCAGTTAAAAGATGTGGGTGTCTGAAGGTGTTTAAGTGCAGTAAATTCTGCCAGGTTGTTCTGGTTTGCTGTGTATTCAAGGGCTTGAACTGCAGGTGGGTCAGCCCACAGCCATGCAGAGCCTGCACTTGGGATGGGATGTGTTCTCCAGGGCTGTTCCCAGCTCAGCTTCCTCTGAATCTCTGGTTCTGAAGGTGCTCAGAAAACCTCAGCAAGAAGGGTTGTGGTTTTTTTGCTGGACAAAGTACTCAGAGCCCACAGTCCTGGGTCCTTGCTGACCCAACTGCTGTTGACCTGTGGCTCTCACAGCCCAGAAAACTCTGATCACACAGTGACATCCTTGTGCCACCTTCACTGTGTGGGGGGGGATCTCCCAGGTGGTTCTGGGTGAGTCTGATTTTTGTACATCCCGATGAGGAGATTTTTGTTCCACTTGAGATCTGAGAGTTCTTGTTTTACTGTGTATGAGAAAATCAAGATTAATACATTCACTGTGCAGGGAGGGATGTGAACGTGAGCTGGGTTATCCCAAATCAGTCCAAGGGGGGACTGGACTGTATTTTGGACACCAGCACTGAATGAACAGTGCTAAAGACATCTGGTGAGATTTAGGTAGTTGTTGGGAGCACACAAATGCTAAAAGACCTGGCTTAGCCTCAGGCTCCTCACTCCTACTCCACATGTCCTTTGTGACTCAACCTGCTTTACATCCTGTTTTATTTCAAATTCCACCTTTATAGATCGTGGGAATTATTGCTGAGCTGGGAATGCCAGTGCAGAAGGAGCTGGGAGTCTGCTGGGAGCTGTTACCAGTGACTTTTGGAATAACTGGTTCATATAAACAGCATAAAATCTGTGACAATTGAGCTGCCTCATCAGATGGGCTGAATTACTGAGTGAGCCAGCAGCTGTTACAAGTGGAGAAGAGCAAAATAGGTTCCTGATCCATCCTGTGGAATTCCAGGACAATAAACATCCTCATGAAAGGAGTTTTCTCAAAGGGAATGAGTGACAGGGTGATTGTGTTTGGCTTTATCTTCCTCCCCTGAAGTCTCTTGGAGAAAGTGGCTGTTAGGGGTTTTCACCTGAGTTCACAGCTTTGGGACTCAGGGACTTCTCTGGATTGCCCCAGATCAGCAGAAAGGGAGGAAGATAAACAGATTTTATTGACAGGTGGGTGTTGGACTAGATGACCTTCAGAGGTCCTTTCCAACCCAAACTATGCTATGATTCAGGAACAGTTTTAAAAGTCTTTCTTCCAGAGTGTGCAAAAAAACCTCCCAGTCCCTTGGCTGAACTGAATGCCTGTGTGTTCCCTTTGTTTTTACAGGAGAACTTGATTGGGGCATTACTGGCTATTTTTGGGCACCTTGTCAGCAGCATTGCACTCAACCTGCAGGTGAGTGTCCTGAAGCAAACATTCATCCTGCACCAAAAACATCCACCACGACCAACCTGCTTGGCTTCTGTTCCCTTCTCTTTTCCAGAAGTACAGCCACATCAGGCTGGCAGGCTCCAAAGACCCCAGGGCCTACTTCAAAACCAAGACCTGGTGGTGTGGGTTCCTCCTGCTGGTGCTGGGAGAACTGGGAGTGTTTTCCTCCTATGCCTTTGCTCCTCTCTCCCTGATTGTGCCACTCAGTGCAGTGTCTGTCATAGGTAAGGAGGAATCTGAGTGTGTTCCAGTGTCACATTCCTGGTTGATCCCACAACTCACTGTTTCTCTTTCCTTTTTTTTTTTTTTTTTTTTTTTTTTTTTTTTTTTTTTTTTTTTTTTTTTTTTTTTTTTTTATAGCTAGTGCAATCATAGGGATTATATTTATTAAAGAAAAATGGAAGCCCAAGGAATTTTTGAGTAAGTTCTACAATTCCTTTTCGGTTTTCCTCTCTGTTTACAAGCCATTCAACACACATAGCATGGCCTCTCAAGAATTATACTTTCATTATTTTATATTATTATTAGAGGGATGGCAAGATCTCCATGGTATCTGTTGGAATAAAGGTGTCATCTCATCCACTGTTGGTTAAAGATGGATATTTTTTTCTCAGACTTGTGCCAAATCACCTGAATCTCCCAGATCTTAGAAATTCAAGGAGTTGCAGGATTTGAGGATCCTGGCTCTCCAGGATGAAGCTGCAGCCCTAAATCTGAGGCCCAGGGAAATCAGTGTTTGCAGAACTGGGGCATTCATCCCTGCATTTCCTAGGAAAAGGGCCGTGCAGGGCAGGAGAAGCCCCCCATACAGATCTGTAGCTCTGTTTGTTTAGCAGATCCTCTCTGGGATCAGCTGTTTGTCCCAGCTCCCACACACCCACTGCCCAGGGCTTGATGGCTCTGATATTTTGGAAGTGGGGGCACTGAGTCACCCCCAGGAATGTTCAGGATGGTCAGGTGTGGTGTTAATTCCACGCACCCCCACCCAACTCCTTAACTCTGCCCTCTCTCTCCTGTCCTGGCTGCAAGGACGTTACGTCCTGTCCTTTGTAGGCTGTGGTTTGGCAGTTGTGGGGACTTACCTGCTGGTGACATTTGGACCCAACAGCCACGAGAAGATGACAGCAGAAAACATCACCAGGCACTTAGTGAGCTGGCCATTCCTGCTCTACATGGTAAGGTGGCCCAGGAAATGGGGGATGGTTTTCTCAATGTGCCTGCTTTGGGAGTTTCCTTTCAAGCATTATTTTTCCTTATGGTTGCTGCCAACATTCCTTGTACTCACTGATGAACCTCTGGCAGCTTTTCCAGGTGTCAGGCACAAGCACAGCTTAGAACTCTCCCGTTCCTTCTCTGAATTATTCTGTTAGGACTTAAGAGATATTTAATTTGGAAGTTACTGTGCTTGCAGCTGGGCTTTTTCTACACTGACTTTCTCACTGGAGCCATTACTTTCTCACTGAAAATCTTATGAAATCTGTCATTTTATATTTGAGAGGAACTTGGCCATTAACTGAGACTTGTGCTTCAGGGATCACTTACAGAACCTCATTACAGAAAGCAGGCTGAGATCCCTGATGGGAATATTCAGTCAGGATTATTTGATCTGCTGCTTTACCATAAATATAATGTCTAAAGTGTCCCATGTTTCCTGTTCTGCAAGAAGCCACTGAATAGCTCATTTAAGTGATTCTAAGATCATGCTAAATTTATTCTATAATTGTGGGGGATCCCCATTTTCCTTTGATTTGCCCTATTGTGTAATTCCAGTGTTTGTCTGGCTCAGAATCCCATTTACTGCCAACCCCATCTAATCTGCATTTTTAATATTCTCATTTCTGTCTTTTGTAGCTTGTGGAGATCATTGTTTTCTGCCTGCTGCTGTATTTTTACAAGGAGAAAAATGCAAACTACATTGTAGTTATTCTTCTGCTGGTGGCTTTGCTGGGTAAGTTGATGTGGAGTGGTAAGATCTTTAAACAGTAAACTACAGTAAATTGAGGCATCTCTGGCATTTAGGGGATTATATTGACCTAATTAATGCCATAAAATGCACCAATCTGCTCCAGAACTGTTACTACAAATGCTGGACATCTTTGCAAATGACCTTTGAACAATTAAGGCTTATTTCCCATAAGGAGGAATAATCTGCCAAGCACAGAAAGTGCAAGTTATTTATTTAATTTTAATTTTAATCTGTGCACACAAAGCACGGTATTCAGTGAATAAATGGGGCTGGTCCAGTGGAGGAAAGAGAGGATTTGACCTACAAGAGTCTTCTTGGCTCTGGGAAGATTTGCTGTGAGGGTAAGGGAATGAGAAATACTTTGCCCTGCCAATGTGTCCCTGTTGAAACTGGGAGAGTCTCTGGGCTTGGAGTCAAATATATCCCTAAAGTGTACCCTGGGATCCTGCAGTGACTGTGGAAAGGGCAGCATTTCACTGGTACCTTTCTCCACATTAATCTGGGTTTGTTTTTAAAGAAACTCTACTCAATTAAACTTTAAAAAGGGTGAATAAAGCAAGGCAGTGTCTCAGTCCTCAATGTTTGCTATTTATGCAACTTCAGTCACTGCAGTGTCTTTTACTCTTTTTTCTTTGTTTTTTGGTTTTTTTAATGAACTGTTTGGGGCTGGATTTCAGTCACTGATACCTCAAAGGCTCTGTGAATTACAGACAAAGCAACTACACTAATTCTGAATGGCTTTTAAAAGAGGGAGAAGAAGGTTCTTTCTGATTCTTGCTTTGAAAACTTCCTCGGCTTTTATTAACCAAGCCAGATGAAGATTTGTATCCTTCCATCATGTGACAGCACTTGGAGAAGGAACAGTAAATGCTCTGTAGACATGGGGATTGTGATACAGAAAGGTTCAGGGACTTGTTGAAGTTGTTGGGAATAAAACTGGCAGGGCTGGTGCTAAAAGGGGCAGTTTGCTCCCCTCGTTTGGCCTGGAAAAGGGGGGGTCAGGTTTCTGTAGGTTGTTTGGAGCTTCCTGCCAGTGCTCCAGCTGAGTGTGGTGAACTTCCATGACCTTCCCCAGGTTCCATGACCGTGGTGACTGTGAAGGCTGTGGCAGGGATGATTGTTGTCTCCATCCAAGGGGCCCTGCAGCTGGACTCCCCCATATTCTACATCATGTTGGTGTGTATGATTGCCACAGCCATCTACCAGGCCACGTAAGCCCTTCACTCTTTGTGTGTCTGTCATTGTTCTGGTGGTTTGGGCTGCTTGTTACCCTTCCAAAAAGCTCTGATTAAAACTGTCCATTCTTCTCTTCTGTGACCTGTCCTCAAATCCACCTCACAGGAGCCTGGGGTAATGGTGGGCTTTGCTTTTTCCGTGCAGTGACACTGCCAAGTAGTTTTAATCCCAAATGTGGATATACATCATCCAAGCATTTGCAACACAATTTTAGGAATGAAATGGTGGTAAATCAGATCCAGTTATCTGTGCACTGGCTAAAATCAAACTGTAGAATCAGTGTTGTTGAAAATGTGTCTGGTTTTAGCTTTTTTTTTTCTTCCTCTTTGCACTTGCAATAACATGAAAACCCAGTAGCAGCAGGGATAAAAAGCTTCTCAAAATGTGAGTGGCCCTGAGGTCACTCATTCCAAGGGATGCTGCTGCTGCTGCTTTAGTGAGAAAAATGATTTATTTTCTAAATCTATGCATCACTTCTGCAAGGTGTTTCCAAAAAGAGTATCCCTGCAAACGAAGCTGTGTTGTCTCTGACTCTGTTGCAGGTTTTTAGCTCAAGCCTCACAGCTCTATGACTCAGCTCAGATTGCCAGTGTTGGCTACATCCTGTCCACAGCAGCAGCAATCTCAGCAGGTAAGGGCACAAACCTTCCCAAAAGAAGGGCCAAAGATTTTGGAAAATAATCCTCACTCCCAGCTGAGGAAGGTGAACACTCAGCAAGATGATGACTTGTATTTTCTTGTCATCTTTGTTTGGTTTTTCCTTCAAAAAACATGAATTATCCCATTAGACTGTGTTAAAATTTTCTGTTAAGTGCTGTCACTTTATTAAAAATGCAGGGGATCTTTAGATTTGAGACTATTACTACTCATTCCATGCAGGGTGATGTGTGATCTTAGATGTGCAGTTCAGTACACAGCTCAGTTTTCTCCTGGTTGAATTTTATCTAGATTTTGTTCAAATGTGCCACACAGTGTACAAACCTGTTTGCTTCCTCTGCTCAAAGGTGTTGGGATCTCTCCCCAATAGTCTTGTTGTTGTATCCAGAGTGCAGCTGCTCAAAAGAGGCTTTTTTTCTTTCTGCATTTCTCCAGTTTCAGCCCTTGCCCACGGTAGCAAAGCTTTGTCTGCAGGAACAAAGATGAGCATTTCCAACCCCTGGGGCTCAGACCTGGGGAACAGCCTTTGTAAGGTTTTGTTCTCCTCACTTAAACACATGAGCAAAGCTGGGGGAAACAAACACAGAAAAAACCAAACCCCAGCACTCAAGAGAGTGCATTTGTCTGGCAGTGCTGGATACTCTGGGTACAGAGTAGTTTATTCCTCTGCTTGGAACAGAGGGCAATAACTTCCCCCAAAAATTGCACAGGGCTTTTTAATGCTCCTCTTCAGTGTCATGAGAGACTCTGTCCTTGTATTTATTTCCTGTCATGTCCCAGGTTCTCAGATCCATCAGCTTATTTACTTTACTTCAGTTAAAAATGCAAAGAGTAGGACCCAGAACATGTGTCCTGCTGACACCCAGGACACCAAGGCTGTTTATCTTGAGAGGTTTGAGCTGGATCTTATTGTTTGGGGTCAAGAGTTTGTATCCTGTTGCAGTTAGATCCAGTTACAGCAGTAGAGTTATTTTGGGAGCGAAACTCTTTAGAAGATTTGTCAGTAATTTTGTGTTAAAACAGAAATCAGGCCACCTTTTTCTATTTCGAGATCATTAACAAAACAAAGGTGCTGACTATAAAAATAGGGAGCTTGTCTGATGTGGTTTCTGGAGGGATTAGTGCTGGAGGTGTAACTGGAGGGGGAAAGATGTAATGACTTATTTCCTTTTGAAGGAGCGACTTTTTACTTGGACTTCACGGGTGAAGATGTTCTCCATATATGTATGTTTGCACTGGGGTAAGTGCTTCAAGTTTCCTTGAGAGAAAACTGGACAGTATTGCTTGATGTGACTCAAACTTTAAAAATACATCTCTATTTTAAAATATGTCTCTGCTGGAGGTACAAACTGTCTTGGAGGAGGACAGACTGCAAACACTTTCTCTGGCAGAGCTCAGTGTCGTGTCTGGGTGATGCTGGAAGCTCTAGAAAGGTTGTGTAACACTCAGTAATGCACAATTACAACATTAATCACTAAATCTTTTACTGGCTGTCCTGGAGATCAGCTCAGATGTTGGGTCATATGGGCTGCTTTTCGAGCTACCTGCTCATGAGTCTGGAAGAACTGTAGAATAACTAAAAAAAAACCATTTCTGGGGAATCTGTTTGAGGTTTTGCACCTTCACTGAACTGTGACTGACTTCTGGAGTCTGGTTCTTGGGGCACGTAGATCAGTAGAACATTTCCTGTGTCTTGATGTAATTAGCTCTCCATAATCAGGGGACATTCTGAAATGGCTTTTAGATAAGAAAAAAAAAACACAATTGGGAGATTATTGTTTTGAACTGCACCTTCCTCTGTGGACCCACTGGAAAAATCCAGATCAGTGGTTGTTACTGTGTTTACCTACAGGAAACCTTTCAAAGGTCAGGCTGCTAAATCCTGGAATTTCATCAAAGGAAACCAAGTGTTGATATGCTGCCTTTCCCCTTCAGTTAGTCAAGGTTAATTCATTAATTAACATGAAAAATTTCCCTGTGTTTTGATAAGGAAAAGGGGACATTGTGCTGAGTGCTGGGTGGGTTTCAGTGCTGGTGAAGGGGGCTCAGCTGGGACAGTGCTCTGGAATTCTGACTTTGCAGTTCTTGAACTTCATAGCTCTGAATCCTCTCTGGAGCTACAGAGTAGGCACCCTGGAAAAGCAACTTGCAATATTGTGTGCCCTCCCTTTTCAGTGATCTCAGTAATGTTACTCTTCTCCCTCAGGTGCCTCATAGCATTCCTGGGTGTTTTCCTGATCACAAGAAACAGGAAGAAGCCTGTGCCCTTTGAACCATACATATCCATGGATGCCATGCCAGGTAACAGGAAAAATCCAGGGGTTCCTCACCCTTTGGGAGTGTTGGGTTCCCAGTGAGAGCTCAGGCTCTGGGCTCTGTTCAGTGTCAGAGGGATCAGAGAGTTGTGGTGTTTCCTGTGGTTTTCCTTCTGGTTTTTTTGTGCCTCATGAAGGGTTTGTGCATGTTTTGCACAGAGCAGACAGGGGATGATGATGTGCCACTGGGATGCCACTGGGTCCCTGTCCTGTCAGAACAGCCTTGTCCAGTTGGCTGCTCTCCAGGGAGATTTAACTGTTTTTGAGCATATGCTTGGGATTGGGATTGGTCCAGCAAGAAGAGCTGATTACTGGGGAAGGCTGAGATAGTGCAAGAGGCAGAGGCCAGGGGGAGCAGGAATTTCCTTTGGGAAGCACAGCTAAACTCTCTGGTGAGCCCTGTGAGAGTTATGCAGCACTTGATGGATAACTGACTGCCATCCCTCATTCCCTTGGAGCTCATTTCCCCATTAGCTGCTCCAGTGCTGAGCACAAAACCATCCTGTCTTTCATTTAACACTCGAGGAACCGATGAGCTGGAAAACAGGGAGACCTGATAATTCACTGATTTAACAGAGCACAGGAAAGATGCATTTTTGTCCCTAAGCATTGAATCTCTGCTCTCTCCAGGCATGCAGAACATGCATGACAAAGGGATTGCAGTCCAGCCTGACCTCAAAGCTTCCTTTTCCTACGGAGCCCTGGAGAACAACGACACCATGCCTGAGATTTACACTCCAGCCACGCTGCCCATCGTGCAGGAGCAACACGGTTCCAAAGGAGTCTCTGCCCCACCCTACCGGGTGCTGGAGCACAGCAAAAAGGAGTGAGTGACCTTTAAAGGACTGATTTGAATCCTCAGAAGTCTGACCTTTTATTTATTTACCCATTAAAATACAAGCAAGTGTAAAGCCAACCCTGACGGAGCTGAAAGCTCGTCTCCAGCTGAACTTTCCAGGCTGATTATTAAAATAAGCAACTCTTTATAGCTGTGAAGTTGAAAAGGAGTAAATCCCAGTTCTGCATGGAATTGTGCTGGCTGGAAGGGTGAAATGGGGAGTGCAGCACCATGGAACTGATGAGAGCAGATGCTGTGGGAAGAGAAGTGACTGTGCAATTTTTAGTCCTGCTGGGAGTGGGTTTATCTCCAGCCAGTAGTTTTCAGGAGTGGCTCACAGAGAGAGAGAAGAGCAGGATTTAATCTTTCATTTGTAGAGACTGTGATGGATTTGCAGGAAGGCTGTAAATCCTCTCGTGTCTGGTGTGACCACTGACTTACTTAACACGGCAATAAATGGAATTGTTTTCGAGCACCAACACTGGAACTTACTGTGCTTTTAGAGCAGCAGAACTGCTCAGAGTGAACAAGCTGCTTGATTCCTTCAGACCACGAATTTTTGGGCACTTCCTGTACAACTGTTCTCTGGCTGGTGTTGAACACAAGCACTGAGGATGTGAGTTGTTTTTAGAGCACCACTGGATTATATGTCGGCTTAGAACAAAGATTATTTGCCAGTTTTCTGTTCCACGGCAGGAGCTTCAAGTTGGATTAACTGATGCAGAGAGGTACAAGGGCGAGGAGAAATGAGGATAATGTGACTGGATCTGGTGGGGAATTTTATATAATTTTTCATGATGTCTTAATTATTTATCACGTTTATTTTTGTTCTGCTTGAGGCAGCATGTCCAACTTCAGTGGTCCCAAATACTTACAGGTGGTGACATTCCTTAGTTCAAAAGCTCAGTCTGGGTCTAATAAACTGGGATCCTCCCCCCCTTTTTTTTTTTTCTTTTAAAAAAAGGAAGAAAATACTTGTCTACTCTTATGGATGACCTAAGGAGAAAAGAGAGGTGTGCACAGGACTGTAACAATAACTGAGCTTTGTGTACTTGTGATATTTATCTTTCCAGCTTCCAACAGATGGCCAGGAGCTGATATGGAGGGAGAATAGACAGGAGGGGGGGAGAAGGGGGACTTGTCAAGTGAAAAAGGACAAAGTACAGCGTTTACTGGTATAGGCAAGTTATCCTGGCACTTTGGTATCCTTGTCCTCTCTAAAAGTTGGGTTTTTTTTTTCTGTGAAACTCAATTTTAGGTCTATTTGGTGTGTCTTGGGCTGTAAGCACAGTGAGGTGTCTCCAGGACCTTGGAAGACTGTATTTGAAAGGAATTGTGCATTTTTAAGTGGTTACTCTAATACCAAAGTGTTTGGGAGGATCCTGGACTTGGGACAGTTTCTTTCTGCCTTTATTTATTTTTATGTCTTAATTGACTCATGGCCAGTTTCTGTTCCCACTACCAAAAATCCCCTGCAACTCCACTGACTTGTACAGAGTTTTTCCAGGTTCTTGCTGTTGTGTGTGACAAAAGAACCCTTCTTTTGCAGAGATTTGCCTTGTCAGCTCTGAAGACTAAATTAACCTGGACATACTTTTTGCTCTGGCATTTTTGTGCAGCTTAGAAGAATTAAAACCTTTCCCCCTGCACAGAGGAGGTGCCCAGGGGCCCTACCTGGGTGAAGTTCTTCACCAGTCAGATCTTATCAGTGGCATCCCCTACACTGCAGCTTTATGAAACCTCGAGAAATAACAGCTTTTCTTTTCCCCTCAATCCTTTTCTGTGTTTAAGCAAGATCAGGATGCTGATGGGCTGATGCTGCCAGAGCATTCATTCATCTGCTGGAGCTGCAGTGACACTGATTTACTGCCTTTGGATCCTGGTAATCAATGGTGAATTTATGGGCAGCTTTTGTTCATTAACAATGCCAAATGAAGTCATGCAGGGAGGCTGAATGGGAAGGGCACAGGAGTGCTGCCTTTCCTTATCTCTTCCCTTTTAATCAACCAGGCAGTGGCTGTTTTGACCTATTAGTTCTGCCACCACAGAACACAGCTTGAAAACAGGCTGTGCTAAACCACTGACAGCTACAAACACCCTTAACGTGGCAATATTCTCTGTGTTTAATTATTACAGATGCTGCTGTGGTATAAAATAATTCATCAGAAGGGCCTAAATGTTTTGCTGTTGACATCTGTCTCAGGATGGTCCTGTGTGTAACAGAACGTGGTTTCTCAGCATTTAAAAAGTGCAGGTGACCAAGCACAGACTTTGCAGCAATAAATGATTGGTTTGGGGGTTTTTTTGTCCTCATCACAGGCCCTGACATCCTGAGAGGTGGGCACAGAGTGCTCTGCCAGGGGACACAGCTGCTCTGCCTGCCTTGTGCTTCTCCTGCAAGCTGCTCTCTGGCCTGAATCAGGGATTTCTTTTTCTGTAAACTCCCCAATTTCCCCAGCCCTGACTGACTCCTGACCTTCCTCTCTGCACAGAGCCTCAGGTGTGTCAGCACTTCTGCTCTGAGGGAAATTTCCTCCAGCCATAAATTGAGCTTTTGTGTCATTGTGTGGGTTTGGCTCTTTTGCCTTTAGAATCTTTGAAAGAAGAGTCTTGCTCCAAAGCTTTACATAACCATGTTTTATTTACACAGTCTCTGTGTGTTCAAATAATTCTGCTTAATAATGACAGTTCCATTTACCTGCAGCCACAGGGAAAAACTCCCCTTATCAGCCTTTGGAAACTTCCTGGCAAAGGAGTGCAGGGGAGGTGGTGTCTTGTTTCTACAGCACATAAATCACAATATTTTTGATTCTCCTGCCACATCAGTAGAGCTTGAGGTGTTCCTTGGGCCTCAACTCCAGGCACTGAGGGAGGGGTTGCATTGTGGGACTGATGGATTGCACCTCACTCCTGTTTGCTGCTGGTGTTCAACACTTGAATTTTAAAATGTGGGGGGTTTGGGTTTTTTTTTTTGTATTATGTACTTCTGCCTTTCTTGCTTTTTCTCCCAGGCTTCCGAAAAATCTTATTTTCTGCTCTCTAGCCCAGTCTTACAGCTGAGAAGGCACGAGCAGGGCCCTGAGAGGCCAAGGATCTTATTTAAACCTGACTTGTAGGACTCCTGTGCTCTTTCTGACAGTGGCAGGGTAGAGCTCAGGATTGAATTAAACTCCTCACCTCCCTTCTGGTTCAGAGAAGCTGAAACAGGGAAGGTATTTGTACCTTCAGGTCTGAACTTTGAGTATTTGTTAGTCTGAGGTGACAATGGCCATGCCCAGGATTGCAGCAAATATTTACAGCTGAGCAGCACAGGGAGGTTTAAAGGAGAGTGAAAAATAATAAAACTGAGGCACAGCACATTTTTAACATGTGAATGTCAGCCCTGCAGTGTGACCCCCAGGGAGGCAGGGCCCTGCTCACAGCACAGCACCCACAGATTCCCAAAGGGGAAGGATTTTTCAGCACCAGGAGCTGTTTCCTTCACTAAACTGTGGAACAGCTCCTTGGCTCTGTCTCTGGCTTCTTCATCCAGTGTGAACTGACATCTCTTTGCCTCCACACTGTGTGGCTTCTCAATGCACCAGAGCACTTAATACACTCTCAGTGTGTATTTTATGTGTAATTTAATGCTGTGCAGCACAGCTCCTGTGCTGGCTGAGTGTATAAAATGACCTGCCTTCAGTGTTGTCTCGTTCACATAAAAATGTGTAAATAAATCAAGCTTTACAGTATTGCACTATCAGGATAACTGCTGCATTTTTCACAAGCAATGTTGCATGTCTATTTAATTCTGTTTGTCTTTTAGGTGAGGCCTTTGGAAATGAAACTTTCAATAAAAAGATTGTGGTAAAATGAAACTTTGAATAAAAGGTTGTTGTAAAACTGATAGAATTCTGGCTTGCTCCGTGCTCTGGGAATAGCTTTAATTGGCCCTAAATGTCTTGAGAGAAGTTAAGGCAGAATTTATTTTACTAAAATGTGTATTGAAAGGCCTGTCTGTCTGTTTTTTAACAGGACACTCATAAATGAAATGCAGATTGATGTGTTTTGGGGCTGCAGCTTTACATGACTGTCCAAGTATTTGGTGTCAGCTGTAGGAATTGGGCAATTTACTTAAAAAAACTTTGTTTTACAGGGCTTAAAAAAAAATAAATTAGCATTTATTATTTTGGAGAAGAGCTTGAAAATGTGATCCAAGGATAATCTAAAGGAGTTGGGGAGACACAACCCCAAAATCATTGGTGGCTTGACTGATGAGTTTTTTACTGAAATTGTTCTCTTGAGACAGCCAAGCTCTCTGATACAAGCTGGGAATGCTCTGCTGGAGGAGTTGTCATCCTTCAGCTCCAGGGCACAATGTCTTTGATGCAGGAGCAGCTTCACTGCCATTTAGAGATCTAGAGACAGTCGTAAATAAATTTAGAATAGTGGGGACGCAGCTTAATCGACTGCTTGCCAACTTAATTAACACTTAACAGATGGGTTTTAGTCCAGGGGGATAAGAGGGATAACCCTCAGGATACTCTTAATTAAATGTATCTCTTGGGGTCCCAAACCACAAAGGGAAAAAAAAAAAAACCAAAAACTATCCAAGAGCAGCCTCAGCTGCTTTGGTGTTAAAGAGCTGCATTTGATTGAATCCCTGGACAATGCTGGCAGAAGCAGCTTCCCCAAGCCCCAGAATTTCTGATAAATGTGGTAATAATTTGTTGACATCAATCATTTAAGGGTTAGTGTCTTGTATAACAGACAAGTGCTAATATCAAGTGATGGCAATTGAGCCAGATGTCAGGAGCATTACAGAAACCCGTGCTACTAAGGAGGTGTTATTTCAAATGAGACAGAAGTATTTAAAATGCCTCTGAAATGGCCATAAACGTTGGGAGTTTGTGGTATTAAAGCAGAACATATTGCTGGCCAGGGAGGAAGAATGTGGTGTTGGAACAATGAAGTATGTGACTGCAGCAAGGGATGGCTGAGGTAACTGAGAGTAACCAACTACCACCTAAATTTGCACAGCATCCAAATTGCAGAATCCCTTTATCTGGGCAGGTGAGACTGATCTAACCTTTCTAAAGTGAGTTCTGCTCTGCTGTTTTCTTATGAGGGAAAGGCCTGCCCTGTGCACAAATAAATCACCAGCCTGGTGGAGAAGACCAGCTGAGAGCTGCTTTTCTCCCCTTTTTTTTACCGTACCTGAAATTTAGAATAAAAAGCATTTCAACCACAGAAATTTATAGCGTTCGTGTCAAAAGCCCACAATGTCTTCTGGCTTTCCAAGCGAGGACAAAGCCGCTGAACTGAATGTTTGCGTCGCCGAAATCCGATAGCCAAATGCGGCCAAACAAAGGAACGCTGCTTTGTGTTTTGAGAGGTGGAGGGACACAGGCATCGATTTATCAGCCGGCTCGGATGACGGGCTGCCTCGAACCGTCTCGCGGCTGGGATTAAAGCCGAGATTTACTCCCACTGTCGCTGCCGGCACACGGAGCACCCCCCGAGCCCCCTGCCCTGCCGGGACAGCCCCCGGCGCTCCCCGGACCTCCGGCAACAGGTGATGGAACTGTGGAATCACAGAATCGTGGGATGGTTTGGGCTGGAAGGGACCTAAAAGATGATCCGGTTCCAGGGGCAGGGACACCTCCCGCTATCCCGGGATGCTCCCAGGGGCGGGGCGGCCGCAGCTCCTCTGGGCAGCTCTGAAGCGGCTCCTTCCTCCGTGCTCGGCCCTGCCAGAGCCGCCGGCTCTTCTCCAGATGCAGCTCCGAGAGCGACGTGCGGAATTTTTAAATAAATTTAAATAAATCCCCCCCCCCCCGACCTCAGCCATTGCCGAGCCCACGTGACCCGCCCGGCGCGACCCCTCAGCGGGGCGGGGCATGCGCGGGGCCGCCCCTCCCTCCCCTCCCTTACTCCCTCTCCCTCCTCTTCTCCCTCTCCCTCCTCTTCTCCCTCTCCCTCCCTCCATCCGGGTCACCGACCCTCTCCCCGCCGCTCCCGGAGGAGCGGGGGGGGGGGGCAGGTGGAGGGGGGGGCGCGCGCAGGCGCGTTCCCGCCTCTCCCGCCGCTCCCGCGCCGTGCCCGTGCGCGCTCCCGCCGCTCCGGCCCCACACGGGCACCGCTCCTCGGTCGGTGCGCGCTCCCGCCGCTCCAGCCCCACGACAGGGACACCGCGGTGCGCGCTCCCGCCACCCCGCCCGCAGGTGAGGTGAGGCCCGGCCCGGGCCGAGCGCTCCGAGCCGCGGGTGGGGAAGTTGTTGTTTGGTTGTTGTTGTTGTTGTTGTTGTTGTTTTTCTCTCCCTTAGGGCGGATCCCGAGGGTTTGGGGGGGGGTTTAATTAAAGAATATCCCCAGCGAGGGCTCCGGCCCGGGCGGGGGGTGACCCCCGGGCCCTGCGCTCGCCCGGGGCAGCTCCACGGGGTGTGGGATCGTGGGGTGGGAAGGGAAGGGACCTCAAAGATCACCCAGTGCCACCCCCTGCCCTGGGCAGGGACACCTTCCACCAGCCCGGGTTGCTCCAAGCCCCGTCCAGCCCGGCCTTGGACACTTCCAGGGATGGGGCAGCCACAGCTTCTCTGGGCAACCTGTGCCAGGGCCTCCCACCCTCCCAGGGAAGGATTTCTGCCCCTCAGCTCCTCGGGGAGGATCCCGTTGCTGTAGGAATCGCCATGTGCAGCCCTCACGTCGAGGGTTTTCGGGAGGGTGGGATGTGACTGTGAGGGAGCTGCTCCTGCTCAGCTGCTGCTCCAGAGGATGCCCAGGAAAAACCCCCCCGGTGCTGCCTGTGCCGGGGAAGAACTGAAGCCCCCGGTGGCAGAAGCTGCTTCGCTTAAATTTTAGATTTTTAGCTCTGCGTGAAGTTGGAGAGTTTGCTTTCGAGCGTTTGAGCGGCCCCTGTCCCCCGGTGTTTAAGTGGTAAGCAGGTATTAATTCCCAGAAGAAAGGGCTTAGTGAAAGGTCTGATCCCAGTGGCTTTAGTTCTTGGGATCCCCTCAGTCGAGCTGTGTGAGGGTGTTAAATCTGAAACGAGCAAATAGTTTGCTAATGAGTATTGCAGTGAAATCGCTTTTAATTTGTTTATTGCAGTTAATACTCTTGTAAGAATTAGCTGATCATAATAGGAATTAGCTGGTTGTAATTTGCATTTGCATATCTCCATTCATAGATAAGTGGGAACCTCTCACCTTTCCAGGGAGGTAAGTGAAGATATTCCCTTTTTTCCTAGGGAAGGTGAATCAGAGTGTTTTGGCTGTTGCACTGATAATCACATTCCTGTACCTGTCTCAAGCTTGGAGTGCCCTTCTTCTGGTTTTAATGCTTTCTAATAATTGCATAATCAAATAATTCTGCCTGATCTCTTTAAAATATCACTTCTCACAGGGCTGTTTGTCACTGGACTTGTTAATTAACGTTCACACATCAGTCTTACCTGTCTCATCTGATGCCAGGGAAGGTGTTGGATATTCTTGCATTGCTCAGTAACCAGGTGCTCTGATACTGATTTGAGTGAAGTCATGAAAAACGAGTAACATGAGAAAAAAACCCCCAGAATTAACCGTGTAGGTTTATGATTAAAAAGAATAGAACTATGATGCATTCTTAATGAAGGAAGAACCACAGCATAATTGAAGTAGCTTTTATAGCTCAGTGTTCTCTACAGAAGCTTTTCAGATTTTGGTTTTACAGCAGGAAATGCTGTGCTGGAAATTACACAGAGCTGTTGATGTTGCTGCTGAAATGTTCCCTTAACTTAGGCTAAAATTGATTCTATTAAATCCCTTCCCCTGCAAGCTGCAGGAATTCAAGGGAATAACTGCATTGTGTTCTGCAGCTTAACCATGTCCAGGTTTCCATTCTTGTTCTTTAAAGCAGTGAGATGATTTCTGGGAATTAAATTTGTGTTCCTGGCTGAGGAAGGAATTTAATCTGCTTCCTGGCACGGGGAGGGTTAAACTGCCCCAGCTCCCCGGTGTCATTTACACTCCTCACTGGAGACCTGCTGCCTTTTCACAGGGCAGAAAATTTAACCCAGTCAGGCGTTTTCCTGCTGTATTTAAATCTTAAAACGTGATGGTTTCGTATCTAATCAAGAGCTGGGGACAGGGTGTTTTCCATCAGGATCCTTAAACTCTACAGACCTGCAGAGCATCTGCTCAGTGCAACAGTTCCCCTCCCCTGCAGGATTTGATGTGGGCCGTGATGCCACACGTTGCTGGGCAGCAAAAATTGGGATTTTCCAAGTGTGGAAGGCGTTTACAGGGGAAAAGGACACAGTGGTGAGCAGAGGGCAGGCCTGCAGTGCAGGGACAGCAGGGCTGTCACCTCAGCTCTGTGCCCAGAACCCAGATGTGCATTTGGTTTAATCCCCGTGTGGTTTGGAGGCGGGAGGGCAGAGGTGGTGGTCGGTTGCCTGTTTTTCACAGGGAGCTGGATGGAGCGAACCAGGACACAGAGTGAAGGTGCAGGGCCTGCCAGCTGAATTTATTCACTGTTAAGATGATAACTGGGCAGGTTTGTGTGCACCTCTTGACAGTCACAGTGACTGTGCAACCATCACTTTCTGTCCACCTCACAGGGAACTCGAATTGTTCAGTGGTACAGAAATTAATTGTAAAGAAGCTGGGTGCTCTGGCTCTTTTCTTGGCTTTTTTTTCCCCCCTTTCCTTTTTCATCCCTCCTCTCTGACTGTGTGTGTGCTGTCTGGGATATCTGAGCTCCTGGCACTTGTCTGCAAACACTTCTGTTTGTTATTGATCCCTCTCCTATTCCTGAGTCGATTTGGCAAAGACCTTTCCTTAATTGTGTTGCCTGCCCTACCACCAGTCTTGCCTTTTACTTTTCCATTTGTCACCTTTTCCTTTACAAAACTGCCCTGTTCTGTTCCACCACAA